ACCGCTGCTTCTCCTGGAAAGAACGCCGCTTTGCCTGCGTCGCCTGAAAGCACACGGCTGGAGCAGCAACATCGCTCAATCTTTCACCCTGTATTCCTAAATCTGCTTGAAGAGGATAACTTCGCTTGCTTCACGGCCATCTTACATTGCATCGAGCAGCTAGCCACCCACTGCACTACCAATACTGCACAGGGCTCTGTTACAGATCTGCACCACATGTTCAGAAAATGGACGCAGTGCCGCACGCAACTCCTCGAACAGTTGTCTGCCTTTCCCAATCTCTCAGCATGGCTGCATACAGTGCTTGTGACATGTTCCTCACCGTCAATGCGAACGACTGTCTCGGAGATCTTATTAGGCCTCATCTCGCGGGCGACGAAAGCTGATGCGGCTAGTGCTTCAACACGAGACCATGTCTTGAAGTTTGTCAAATGCCTGTTGGCAGTCGTCGACCACGTTTCAGCTCACAACGAAGAGGCACAGACGTTGCTAGACTTCATATCCCTGAGCTTGAGTGTGTGCTTTGACGTGCAGATGCGATCTCTGTTGCCCGACGACTATGTGCTCTCTCAGCTGCAGCGCCGTTTGCCCAAGTGCGATGAGGCGATGGTGAGGCTGTACAGTGACAGCTCGCGCTCACTTACCAACGCCGTGTTGTGCGTGTCTCTGCTCCAGCACTGCACGCCTAGCCAGCCAGCAACGACTCGCAGGTACTACCAGCAGCTTTTCTCCATCTTCTACAGCGCTCTCTTTGGCTTTAGTACGGCCCGGGTGGAGCTGACACCACACCTCAAGGCACTGAAAGCCATCCACAATCCGGCAGAGGCACATAAGAATGTGGAACCATCTTCTAGTGATCTAGCCATGGAAGTTGACGAGGGTGAGATTGGTAGTGATGGCAGTGATTCCAATGAAGACTGCCTCGTGCGTGGCGATCTGCCTCTTGTACGGAAGTCGTTCTTCAGGCGGCAGATTTACAGGGCACTGCGGCAGGTTTTCTCAAAGTCGCTGGAGCTGGTGCCGGCGTGCATGCGTCACCTGGAACGCTACTTGTCCGCTGAGCTTCACCCGGGCTATGCGTGGCGGTACGATCCGCAAGAGGAGTTCCGGCAGGCCGGCGTGCCCTACTCTGGCTTGGTCAACCTGGGAGCCACGTGCTACATGGCAAGTTGCCTTCAGCAGCTGTTCATGGTCCCCGAGCTGCGCCACGCCATACTGACACTCCGAGTGACTGATCACCAGCCGCATGCTGCAATGCTGAGAGAGCTTCAAGGTCTCTTTGTGCAGCTGTCGTATGGTACATGGCGTGCATACTCACCCATCGAGCTGTCCAAGATCTACCGCCTTGCTGGCAATCTGCTGAACGTGCATGAGCAGACGGACATGGGTGAGTTCTTCACCGACTTGGTCAGCAAGCTTGAAGAAAGCTCGCCACACCTGGCCAGAAGCGTGAACGGTGTGTGCCGTGGCAAGCTCAGCAGCAGCATTGTGTCGCGTGATTGTCCGCACATCTCCTTCACGGAGGAGTCGTTCTTCCTAGTGCGCTGTCCCGTCGAGAACATGGTGTCGCTTGACCGCAGTCTGACATCGGTGGTGAGTGCCGATGCCCTGGAAGGAGACAACAAGTACATATGCAGCAAGTGCCCCGAGGGCAGTCAAAGAGTAGCTGCTGACAAGCGCACCTCCTTCCGGCAGCTGCCGCCGTTCCTGTGTCTAAACCCGCAGCGCTACGAGTTCAATATGATCTTGATGCAGAAAGAGAAGGTGAACAGTTACTTTGAGTTCCCGACCAAGCTGAACATGCTGCCGTACACTGAGCAATACCTGCTCGGTGATCGTGCTGCAGCTGACAACAGCAGTCCTGACCGTCGGAGTGGTGGGCGTAACGACGACGATACCAAGGACAACCAGCAAGCACCGGTATGTTATGACTACGAGCTAGTGGGAGTAACAGTACACACGGGCACTGCCGATGGCGGCCATTACTACAGCTTTATCCGCGATCGCTATGGCAGCGACGAGTGGTACAATTTCAATGATACAGAGGTGCGTCCGTTTACCATTGCCAACCTGGAGGCTGAGTGCTATGGTGGCCAAATGACGACGGCAAGCCACTCCAACAAGCCGCCGCAGGAGAAGAGCAACAGTGCGTACATGCTGTTCTATGAGCGGTGTGACATACTATCTGCTCGGCACATTGTGCCTCTGGAACAGATTCAGCCGAGCATTCCGGCATCTCTACTGCTGCGTACAGCTATTGCAAACACAATGCTGGAACACCGGTCACACTTGTTTGATCATCAATTTCATGAGCACATGGGTACTTTGGTCACGGCAGTGCTTGATCGTCTAAAACAGGTAGGTGGTGCTGGTGGTGTTGGTGGTGTTGTGTGCGTATGTGTGTATGTGTGTGTATGTACGTATGTGTGTATGTGTGTATGTGTGTATGTATGTATATATGTATGTATGTATGTATGTATGTAATGTACACGTTGTTCTAGTCTTTCTAGTCTAGTCCGGTTGGTGGGTACACACGTGCCAGATAGTGTTGGGTCTGTTGCCAACATACTCGGCTGCTTGAAGGTGTATTGTTGTATCTGTCACCTTTGTTGGTTTCAGGGTTCATCTGCTTTCTATTTGAAGTACACATACCTGTTGACCATGGACTGCTTCTGGCTAGATTAACTCTTGTGTAATCACTGGTGCTAGTGAAGCTTATGTCAGATCCACTAGTACACTAGTAGTAGCAAGTATTAACCTTACTGGGGGCAAGGGTAACTGCAGTTGGATCCCAGGACGGATACCCTGATGCCGTCAATCCTTTTTCTGCACCTTGTCCTCACCCGCTTACTGAGGTGTGGTGAGCCCGTAAGTGGGATCATTTGGTGAGGGAGCTGATCCCATCCACGCAAAGGGGGGCATATTCTAGCATTGGCCGGACAAATCCTTTGTAGAGGGTGGGTGTGGGTAAGTGAGAAGGCAGAATTGCCTGTTCTCTAAACGAATTGAAATAAAGGAAACAAACAAACAAAGTGTGTGCATAAGAGACACAGAGAGGCTTCGGATGTCGCTATTTTTGTTCGTTTGCTTGGCGTGTTCGTGTTATCTGTTTGTTTGAACTGTTTTGGTTCAACTGCTGCTTGTATTTGTTGTGCATTGCAGCAACCGTCCGTATTTGGAGTGAGCCTGGCAGATGTTGTCCTGTTCAGCTTGTCCTACCTGCTAGAGCTGCTGGTGCATGCAGCATCTGTGGAAGATACCTATGTGCTTGACTGGTTCAAAATGACAACAAAGCATGTGAATGGTAACCCCGAGCTGAGTCGCAGTTTCCTCCAGGCACTGACCCAGCCGGGTTGCATGTGGCTGAAGAAAATGTTTGTGCTATGCTCAAACGAACACTACCGTGAACGCTTTTCTCGCCTACTGCTCTGTGCGGTGAGAACTGTCCGCGAGGAAGACCTGTCTATGTACAACCGCGAACGAGTTGACGGATGTGTGGATGGGGAGAATGCTGGCGACATTGCAGGTGGAATCGGGGTGAGTGGCTGAGCATCGGGGCGAGGTGTTGATCTCTTAGGTGGTGCCTCACATACCCTGAATTCACTGGCAAGAAGTGTGAGGAGATGGGAAAGGGGTTGAGTGAGTTAGTATTCTGTTGCTGATACTGCTGCTGCTGCTGCTGCTGCTGCTGCTGCTGCTGCTGCTGCTGCTGCTGCTGCTGCTGCTGCTGCTGCTCACACTCACGTTATCTGTTTTCATTTTGTTCTGTTATTCATGCAGCTGCCAGCTGAGACTCTGAAGGATGAGAACCTGACGAAAACCTCTTTGACAGGCAAGGTGATCGTCTGTTTGCGCGACTTGCTGTGCACAACTGATGCCACTAATGAGCATCTTGTGGAGTATTTTAAGTGTGTACACGACTTCGTCTTGCTAGGTGAGCCTGAGCTGTGGCTCTTCCTGGCCAGTGGCTTCCTGAATCAAATCGTTTGCTACTACCTCAATGAGTCTATCAACGAAGAGATCTTTGAAATAATCTTGTCGGATCAGCGCAAGGTGAGCCTATCGCACCACCTGATGGCCAGGTTAGTGCTGGAGCTGGTGCTGCGTTGTGGTCTGCAGCAATGGGGCTTGACTCGGTCCGACTTGCTGGCTGTTTATAGTGATCAGACAGTAGGTGAACCATCGTTCGCCTTCATTGCCAAACTCATGCAGAAGAAGGTGGATCCAGTCACGATTGGACACCTGGTCATGGCTGCGATGGACTTGGAGCAGGATGATTGCATGAAGGCCTTGCCGCATAAGGTTTCCAGGCGCTTCCTTGGCAATCCTGAATGTCGCCCGGCGATAATTCATGACAAACGAATGTCAACATCTCTGTCAGTGTTTGGACGCATCTTGGAAGCGGAGCATGCAAAGATATCGGGGACGCCGTTAGCTAATCCTTCCCGCTGCCGATTTGGAACATTCACTACAGCGTTTGTGACTTGTCTCTTTCCCAGTATGGAGGCGGCACCAGGCACTGTTCTGGACTGGTTGCTGCAATGGTCCTTTCGCATCCCAGCCTTGCAGATCTACCTGAAGAAGAACTCGAACTGGGTCGATGGCTATCTGTTTCACCGGAACTCGTCGATTCGCGCTGCTGCTGCCAAGCTGTTATCCGTTCTGTTTGGAACTACAGCACTGACACGGGCATTGGCCGCCTCATTCCATGTCACCGATTGTTGCCAGGTTGACTGTATCAACTTGACACGCGTCAGCACCGAGGATAGGAACGTGCTGAGAGCGCTACTCCACCGTCTGCTCAATTACAGGAAAACGCTGAAGTCCGTTGTGGAACGTGATAATGATAAATCCCAGCTCGTGGGCTATTTCCAGCTTCTTGTTGCAGTGGTGATCGATGAAGAGGACCAAGATGTCCTGACTGATCACCTTAACGAGTTCGTTTCGCTCTGGTTTGACGTATTCGCGAGCGATACTTTAAGCAACATCAGCTACAATAA